TATATATATATATAACTTATAAATTATAAATATATGTGTATTGGGAATGCATGCTCAACATTTTTTTACTTATAGGATGAATAGTCAAAATAGTTTGGAGACCACTGCTCTGGAAGAGTTCTATTCTGTTTAAGGGCTGTGTCTTGCATTATTAACCGTAGCAGTACAGAGTTGTGGGAGGATGCTCTCCCTTCTGGGGCAAATTCACACTGGTGCATTAGTGCTGAAGAAGGGGATGTCTTCCTCCTTTTAGTCTAACCCATAACTGCAAACAGACAAGAGCTTGGTTTTAATTAAGCTCTGTGGCTTTTACTACATAGCAAGATCTGTGGACTCCTATTAATTTTGGTATCTTTGCAAGATTCCAGCCCAGACAGAAACTCTGCTTCTTGAGCCTCTGAGCTTTGGTCCAAGGACTTCTGCATCTAATGCAGGGCAGGGAGGCTTTGGTCTTTCCCCTGCACTGTGCAGAATTGCCATAAGAAATTTCTGATGCACAGGAGTCGGTCTGCAGCTACTGCTAATATATTTGTTCCTGTGGACCCCTCTCCCAGGTCAGCATCGATGCAGTGCTTGTTTCTTGACCTAAGCCTGTATTCTGTATGTGAACCCTGGTAGATAACTCTACCTATTTAAAAAAAAAAGAAAAAAAAAGAAAAAAAGGGAAAAAAATCTTTCATGTATTTTGAAAAGATTGAATGGCTATTGTCTTGAAGTTACAGTTACAACTATAGTCAGTCCCGTGCCTTAACAAATGCTGTGGTGGTTACCAAGAGCCTGCAGAGTCTGGTCTCCTGATGTCTTGGCTGCTCTGCCAATACATGATTTCACAAGTTCAGTCTACAAAAGCCTGGAAGAGCTACTTTTCAATCTCTCCTGTCATCTGAGAGAGCTGGAAAGTAGGACCTCAGATCCCTTTCTTCGTAAAGAATTAAGCAGTTTAATTTTCGCTTTTGTTCCTGACAGCAAGGTTTTAACTTGAGTACTAAAGTCATGTCCCCTTGATAGCTTAAAGGGAGAGATGCTGTGGAAGAGTAAGCTTCTTCTAGCCCCTTTTACTTGATTCTGCTCCAGCCTCTGTCTCCTCTTTTCATTGGTGTTGCTGGGAGCTCTGGTTGCAGAGAAAACGTGGTTCCGAAGAGTTTCTTCTCCCGTTTCGGCTCTGTGTAAATATCAGTCTTTGTCCTCTCAAGTCCAGTAAAACGCCTATGGCTGAATCTTCTTAACTGGCCACTGAAATACAGCGCTTTTATCTGAGACAGCTGGCAGAGTGTTATCACTCAGCTGTGTACAATTGCATGCTTCCAGCTTTGTTGTTGGTGTTTTCCAAAAAACCCAGATTGACTTCATATTTTTGCTCAGTGTAATACTCGCATATGACGTAGTTCTTGGCTGGCAAACAGAAGGGAAAATAATGTTGTGTTGGGCTGTTATGTGGAAAACTTTGTAGAAGTTTACTTTTCGTAATATACCGGTTTGCTTGCAAGTTATAGCATATGGCTTGTGTTGAGAGAGTTGTTTTCAGGTCCCTAAAAATGAGTGTGAAACGGACCCTGAACGAGGCCTTTTGTTAGCGAACGCAGAAGTTTATGGTGTAAAGCAACCACAATTCTGTGATGTGTCTTTCCCTTCAAACGGACAAACAGTAACTGTTGTCGTGCAGTAATAAATCAGAGCAGGAAGCAAAGCAAAACCATAAGCTTCTTTCCTCAATTTTAATCAATTGTCCTCGATGAATTTTCCCTCTGTGGCATGCCATAATGGTTCAAAAATGCAAGCTGGAAAATAGAGGCTCATTGAGTCTCTTCTACAACAAGTACTGAGAGGTTAAATGAGATTTTTGTTCTCTCTGTTACTCTGCTGTTTTGGAAAGAGAATAGATTCTGGTAGTTTAAGGGAGGAATAAAATGTAAAACCATCATACAGTGGATAAAAATCAATATCCCTCGGGTTTGCAGACTAGCTAGGTCAAACCATAAGGTCTTCCAACACATGCCTTCTGTTTGGAATCAGGTACGCACATTTGAATGGGTATGTGGGGGGGGGTGCAAAGCTTTGTTATGCAGCTGAGTTGCTTCTAGAAAGTGCTGCAGAACCTGAGTGGCCCCAAAGGCATGCAGCCTGCTCGAGGAGCGTGCAGCCACGGACAGAAGAGCAGCAGACTTGCCGTTCCCTCTTCGCCCCGCACCTCCTGCAGAAGGTTGGTGAGCTGTTGTAGTCCTAAGCGCGTGCCTGCAGCTCTTGGCAGAGGCACAGCCGTGTGGCTAATGGGCTACGGCACACGTGGCTGACCAAGTATATCGTCTCCCAGTGTACAGTTATCATTCATTTCAGGATGAACATTTAGGTTGTAATGCATTTGAGGAGGAACCATTTTAAACTACATTAAAGCTCATGGTGAGGGTCACCTTCCCTCCAGTCTGGGTGTTCTGGGTTGCGATTTGTGCCAATGGCCATCTCAGTAGTTTATCTTCTGAGGGACTGGCGGAGAGAATCGTACCACAAGTGATGTTGGGGCTGCAGGAAGGTGAGGGAAGCCCCGAAGCACTACCCAAACGGTGCTGCGGTGCTTCGAATTGGGTCTCAGTTTGCCCTGGAAAACTGAAAACAGACTACCTGGAACACCATGGTAAAATGACATCTTTCTCTCTCTTGGCAAGAGATGAGACAAAAAAACCCAAGTCAGTAATTAACGAAAACAACAGAAATCCAATCTCTGAGCCACTTCCGTTCCTGGCACAGGACAGTGTTTGTAAGGTTGCGTTTTTCTGGTGTTTGTAAGATGACGTGGAGCTTTTGAAGTGCTTTAATGAAGTGCAGGGCAAAGGAAGAATTGAATCTATTTTCCTTGCACTCAAGTGAGATCTTAAATTTTCAGTCTTGCCAATTAGAAGGTCAAGGACCTGAATTTCCTAATGTTCCAAGAGATGGAAATCAGTCTGGTGTTTCCTTAAAGTGTTGTGTGAGCTTGAAGTTTTCCAGATTTTTCTCTACATGTTCAAGAGCTTCATATGAGACTCAGGGTTTCTTTTGTGGTGTAGGGAGCATAATGTGTACTGTCGTGCTATCACCAGAATATCCTACCATACGTAAGCAAAATTATGGCACTAGTTATATTTTGAGAAACTTGTCCTTCTACAAATCACTTAGGAGTTTTTCAGGGTATATGAATTAACGATAATTAAAGAACATATGAAATGCAAACAGAGATCCTTTCCTTTGCTAGCCACAGTTGGTGCTTAGTATCATGTCAATGTACATATGTGTTGTAGTTGTTTTGATTTGAAAGTTGGTGTCTGAATTTTAAATCCTCGTGCTCTGTTGTGTCCTTTCGAGACCAGGGACTGGGAACCAGTCAGAAGGCACCTTCATTCCTCTGATGTTAACGCTATCCCGAGCGTTGTCTTCAGGCAAGCCTGGTGTGAATTGTCTAAACTCATCTTATTTCTTTCCCTCAGCTGAACTTCGACTTGGATCGTGGTGTGTTCCCTGTGGTCATCCGAGCGGTGGTGGATGAAGGGGATGGTAAGCATGGTGATGTGCTCCCTTGGTCCTCTTCTAGCTCCCTTTGAGGTTATGTGACTCCTTCAGGGCAGGCCTCCTTCTGCAGTGATGAAAGCATTTTACTTGTAGCAAAGGCTTGGTGAGCCTTTCCAGAATAAAAATGTTTCGGGAGTTCACCTTAACTTCCCTGTATTTAAACAGCACAGCTAACCACAGGTTTTTCCATTAAAACATACTTTTAAAAATAGCCTCCATTTTCTACAGGAAAAACGGCCAGGTAGTTAGTGTTGGAACAGTGTTTAGGAGAGCTCCTGGCTCTGCCACCAATGCCAGGCACAAATTGGAGCAAATTACTTCCTTTCTCTTTGGGTTTTGCATTTGCAGTTTGTAAGGCAAGGAGAGAGTTGGTCCTTTCTCCTTCTTGGAGGGGTAAGCTGTCTTCATAAAAGCTATAGCTAACTGTAGGGTTGGCCTTCCCCTGGGAATGTTGAGAGAAAAAGAAATGGCTTTAAAGTGCTGTTTAACCAAATACAGCCTCATTCAGCAGTTTAAAATTCTCCTGCTTTTTCTGAAGGGTGCCGAACGGTTTCAATAAAAGAGCATAATCTTCAATGAGAAATAATATTGTTGGTTATTTTTAGAGCACTTTGCCATTTTGGAGGGGGAAGTCCAGTAAATGTTTAGATTGTTACTCACCTTGCACGGTATTTTCCTTAAGGGGTGTGTGCTTTTGGGCTCCGTGGGTTAGCACTCATTCCGAGCATCAGGAGTGAAACGGGCCCAAGGAAGTCACGTTTTCTCTAAAATTGGAGGCTGTTGTGGTCAACAGGACCAGCATTTCACTTCTGCATTTTGTAACGTTTTGTACAAAACTTGAGAATCATTAGAAAGGAAAAAAATCCATTGTCAATTGCATTGTTCAGTGCAGTCGCTTGCTCAGGGAAGCGATGCCTGTTCTTTCTTACTTGGCATTCAAACTGGAGAGGGACCTGAATGTCATCTACTGAGTGAGCTAGAACAGGCTGGCTCTTGGCCGGCAGTGGAGGAGCAGGCAGATGAATTGTAGCCCTCTTTTCTACATGCCATTACGTTCCTGATTGCACCCGAATTGCTGTGACTGTTCCTGGTTACCCAGCAAATCTGCAGGCTTGGACCCTCTTACCCCACATACTGCTGTTTCCAAACAAGATCTTTGTGGTGTAATCCAGTGAACGGTTCCTCTTGTTGTCCCTGCTGTTCTGGGCCCAAAGGAAGCTGTCGAGCTCCTTTCCCTTTTAGACAACACAGGAGTTGCTTCCTTCAGCTGTTAACTTTCTGGCACCGAGCTGATAGTAGCGTCTGCCAGCTCATCCGCACGTGCTGAGCGCAGCCCGGGTGCTCGTCGGTCCAGGCAGGGCGAGGTGGTTACATGCCTCCCCTTCCCTCGGTGACTCCACCACCCACTTCTGTCTCCCGTTTCCAGAAGATGAGTCTGAACATAATTAAGCAAAAGGGTCCAACCAGTTGGAGCTGAACAGAACTTTAGAGTCTTGAGCTGGAGAGACTGGGATCATACCTCGGTTTCCTCTGTTCTGTATTTTTATTTGCTGAGGGAGCCATGAATGCAGTGCAGAAACCGCTGTCAGCCTTTTCTCGATGCTGTTCAATTAAGAGGGAAGCCTCAAGGTTGGAAGAAGGAAGATGTGATGTTTGTCATTGGGGGAGAAAAATCAGAGAACTGCACAGAGATGTTTCACTGTCCAAAAATGGTATAAGAAATAAATGTTTTATAAGCACATAGGATTAGCCAGAAATAAAGTGATAAGGGCTGCCAATTGATGTTAAATCAGATGGATTTATTCATCTCTGTGGTCAACTCAGGTAATTAAAAACAGGAATTTGAGGGGATAGCGGAGTCCCACTGAGCTCTTTGTTTTACTTTCCCTTTCCAACCTCTGAAAACAAAGTGGGATGGTTTGGAGCCCCCGAGACAACAAAGGCCTGTCTGTATAAGAGCCCGCCACGGAGCCCAGCAGGAGTGTGAGATGAACCAGCCTGATGACAACATAAGGAAAGTTTTAAATTGCAAGAGGAGAGGAAATAGAAAAGGTGGCTATTTAGAAATTGCAAATGGAATACAATTCAGCTCCTGGTAGTTTTACACTTGTGCTACTTTCACGGTTTAACCAGGACTGCTCTTTCTCTTTTTGCAGTGGTGGTTGAAGTGACGGGTCATGCCCATGTTCTTCTGGCTGCGTTTGAAAAGGTAAATGAGTTCTTTATTCCCCCGTGTCCCTGTCCTTGTATATGTAAACCTTTCCGTGGGTCATTAGTTTGTGTTTATATAATGCTTAGCACAGTGGAGTCCTGGCCCGTGACTGGGGTTCCTGAGTGCTGTCGTAGTACAAATAATTGCTTGCAGCAGCTCCTGTGCAGCCTGTAATTATCATTTGTACCTGAGCTGGTCACTCAGCTAATTGTAGCTGCTGTTTCCTGTGTGTGGGGCGAGGGCATGCCTCAGTGGCTGTGATGTTTGAAGGTGGAAGGTGTTGACCATGGCTGCTACCGTGCAGTTTTCCAGGGCCTCGTGATCTCTTTGCAGAACCGGATCTGCTGTGTCCAGACCCTGTTACACCATTGTTTGGCCTTAGTTTACATGTAGGACCAAGCCCTTTTAAAGAATTAGGATACATCCAGACCATGAGCTCCACTACTTCTCGGTGGCATGTTTGATGTAGCTGACCACCGCTTACATGGTAATGCTAAGCCAAGCTGTGTGCACAAGCCTTGATAACAAAATCTCTTCCCATGAGAACTGGACGCTGAAAACAGCTGCAAGATCCATAACTGCATAAGCATGTTGTGTCTGGTTGTGGTAATACCGCAGACATATTCTGGGCAAGTGGTACTTGTAGCAATGTGCTAAGATGAGGCATGAGATGCTGGAGCAGAGCTGGGCTTGTAGAGGGGAGCAGCATCAAAGCTGTGCTGTTAGAAATTCCCCACTTCCAGGCTGGAACGTGGACTGACTTCTGTTTCTAAGTCTGCTTGGTTCTTGCTGTATCCCTGAGCAAGTTGACAGGCCTTACTCTGTTCCTCCTAGGTGGATAATGTGGATGGTGACAAGCTGAGTCAGAGGGCATGGGAAGCACAGTCAGTCCTAAGGAAGCTCTGTGGCTGGAAGACGGTTTAAGTGTTCTAGGTTGCTTTTTTGTTGGATATAGTTTGTGCAGAAAATGAGGTTTTCTGTGTTACAAAGACTGCTCTGAGCACTGGCTCTGTAGGTGGGTCTACTGCTGGCAATCGGAGATCTGTCAGAAATGAGACGGGCAGCTGCAGCACCTGTGGGACTAGGGCAGGGATGTTGTTATTCTAGTTTCCTCCTCCAGCTGATCTGGAAAAACAATACACACTGGAATCCCTCAGTCATTCTGCAGCACCTGGGAGAGGACAGTGCGGGCAGCGGGTCCTTGGGGAAGGCTGTAGCGTTTGGAGCCCATCTGTCCTCTTGGTAGGAAAATACTGTAGGTGGAGACCCCCTAGCCTTGCAACATGATTGTTTGGCCATTGCTAAGGAGAGAAGAATAGATGAGACCACCAGTTTCCTGCATGTTACAGCCTGATTTTGAAGTATTCTACCCATGTTTGCCTTCCTCATCTGCGAGACCCACCTATGCTCCCCTGGCTATTGCCTTCATAGCTTTTTGGCTGTAGCTAGGTTCAGATTAGGCTTTGGATCTGATGATATCAAAACATAGTGCTGTTGCAGTAAGCCCAGCCTCTGTGGTCAGGGAGTAGAGCTCTTACTTGGACCTGACTTTGTCCCAGCTTCCCATTCTAGCATCCTGTGGCCAGCACTTGATAATAGAAGCTTACAGAAAGGAGGAAAAAATCTGTATGTGCTGTGAGAAGGAGATGCTGTTTGGTGGGGCCACTTCTCATCTTCCACTGAACGCTTAAAATAAGATCAAAATCTTTCTTTTAATAAAAAGTCTCAGGGCAAAGTGCTTGTTGAGTTCTTTCCCCTCCCTATTTGGTTAAAATGTTTTCTACATCCTTAGAATAATTGCAGCTTTTGAAGTGTAGGGCCATAAATCCAGAGAAGGTCCTTGCTAATAAGCACTGCTGCTGATCACCAGAGCATGCTCAGAGGACAGACAGACCAGCAGGCCTTGGTAACTTGCTGTTTATGTGTATCTTTAAGATCAGAATAGTAACCTTGATGCTATGCGTAGTCTGGCCTTGCAGCTCTTCCAAAGGCAAAAACTTGGCACTTTGTGTTTCCCTGGAAAACAGGAATGCTTTGTCTTCTGGTGCAATGTTGTTGTCCCTTCCTTCCGAAACTCCTTCAGCAAACAGATGCATGTCTGCAACTGTTCACAGCAGCAGGGCCTGCTGGAGTTTCCCCTAAATCTCCTTTCCTGCTTGCTATTCCCTGGCAGAGGAGTTGGTTTGGTTCAGTTTAGTTGGCCCTTGTGAATGATGGAGAACATAGAAATGGCACACTGTTCCTGTCACTCGTTCTGGCACCAGCTATATACAGAATTGTTCCAGCTGTGCCTGCCACCACTGAGCAAGTCAGAGGCTTGAGGTGGTCACTGCAGCTCTGAAGATGGCAATGTGAAGCACATATGACTTGTTTCTGACTCCATCCGGTGGACAAGCCTTGTTCTCAGCCTCATGCCAGCCCGCTGCTCTCTTGGGGCTCTGGCCTCAAGAATGACACTGCAACTGGGTGTTATTTAGGGTGTTAACAAATACCCCCTGCCAAGTCTTGCTGGACCCGCTGAAGAAGTGTTTGCACCCAGTTGGACTGCTTGCAACCTGAAGGCAGCCAGTGTGCCAGTGGATTTTTGTGTATGCTCTGACCCGCTTCAGCCAGGTTTAACTTTAGCCAAGTCCGTCTAACTCTGCACTGGAGCAGACAAGGAGCACTCCAATACCCTGTTCCACTAGCTCTGCTGGGAATATTGCCATTGATTGCCACTCAGGCTGTCCCAATTGTACATGTGCCACCTTCCCCTTGGCTAGCAGACACCAGCTCTGATCATGAGTCTGTTTTAATTTGTACACTTCAGCTATTTAATACATTTCCTTTTTTTCCTGCTAGCACGTTGATGGCAGTTTTTCCGTGAAGCCGTTAAAACAGAAGCAGATCGTAAGTACCTGTTTCCTGTCTACTGCTTGATTAAGGACGTTTGCTGGTGTCCCACAGGTGCCTGACTGTGCCCAATGGGAAGCGTCAATGTTAGTTCACCAAGAGCCTGAGATCTCACATAGAATCACAGAACGGTTTGGGTTGGAAGGGACCTCAAAGATCATCTAGTTCCAACCCCCCTGCCATGGGCAGGGAAACCTTCCACTACACCAGGTCGCTCAAAGCCCCATCCAGCCTGGCCTTGAACACTTCCAGGGATGGGGCAGCCACAACTTCTCTGGGCAACCTGTTCCAGTGCCTCACCACCCTCAGAGGGAAGAATTTCTTCCTTAGATCTAATCTGAATCTGCCCTCTTTCAGTTTAAATCCATTGTCCCATGTCCTATCACTACACGCCCTTGTAAAAAGCCCCTCCTCAGCTTTCCTGTAGCCCCTTTAAGTACTGGAAGGCTGCAATAAGATCACTCCAGAGCCTTCTCTTCTCCAGTCTGAACAGCCCCAACTCTCTCAGCCTGTCTTCATAGCAGAGGTGCTCCAGCCCTTGGATCATCTTCGTGGCCCTCCTCTGGACCCGCTCCAGCAGCTCCATGTCCTTCTTGTGTTGGGCACTCCAGAGCTGAATGCAGCACTGCAGGGTGGGTCTCACGAGAGCAGAGTAGAGGGGCAGAATCACCTCCCTCGCCCTGCTGCCCACATTATTAGCTCAGATATCATGAGCAAAGGCAGTGAGCTGCTGGCAACCCTGTGTAACAACCCTGGTGGGTTGTTACACAGCCAGATGTGTGTCGGGGTACAAATATGGCAGCATAGGACCGGCAGAACAATGGTGCAGGTCTCTGTGCTCCTCTGGAACGCAGGCACCGTGCATAGTCATCCCTATACGTTCCTGCCTTGCTGGCATTTGGCGCTCGAATACAGAACTGGCAGAGCCCTTAGACATACCACAGCACTGATGCTTCCATGTCTGGATAGGTGCACGGAAATTCATCCAGTCTTGCATAGAGAGAAATACATAAGCAACTGCAAACTGCTGATTGCCAAGAATTTCAGCTTCTAAAAGAAAATCTGGTAGTGATCCTGGTAGGATCAGCATGAATGTCTTGGAGAAAGAGATGAGATTTTGGTGGTCAATCCCGTCACCTTTAGATGTGTGCTCTGTTTCTGCTTTAAACATGTTTGACTTCAGCTGCTTGTGATTGATGGCTAGGGTTTTCTGATCTGAATTAAAAAGCTTTCACTACTGAGAAGGTCACTGAGTGCCTTGATTAGACGCTTTTTGCTCTAAGATGTTCCTTCCAGTCCCCAAGTCAGAAAAATCCAAACCAGTTAATCACAGTGAATTATCCAATGCAGTTTTCATATATCTGCCTCACCAGTGCTGTGCAGACTCATGGCCTGTCCTTCAGCCTTGCTCATGCCCAGTGGCAGCAATATTAGTCCTTGCTGCCAGAGCTTTATCCCGGTGCTAGTGGTTGAGTTACTTGCCTGACGTCTCTTCTGAGCCCTGTGTGTCCCAGCCTGACCTCGCTCCCCTCCCTTGGTGCTGAACTTGGCTGTGTTGCAGCATGATCTCCTGGCTAGTTGGTCCATCTGGGTCCCACAAGTATTTTTAATAGAGGCAGCCAGAAACTGTTCCGGAAAGGAGTCTACAGAGCGTGCAAAGGCAGGTTTGTAGTGGGAACGTGCAGAAGAGCCATGCCTCTGAAGGGAGAGCTTGTGCGCTGTGCTGGGAGAGGCTGCCTGAGCGCGGAGAGAGCAGAGCAGTGTGGTGCCAGCGGTGCCTCTTTCTCACATGTTCTGATCAGAGAAGAGCATTCATGAGCTGATGAAAAGCCACTCATTTATCTTGCTTGTGGGGTTTTGGGGGGATGTTTTTTTTTTAAAAAAAAAACAAAACACAAAAAAAACCAGCAGTTATATGGCTGTGAGCTCTCTGAGTCAGTGTTGGGTGACTCTGCACACTAACGCAGTGTGTGCCATCCTACATTTAGCACTCCGGACTCCCCAAATGGAGGGCTGTCTTGCTGGCAGTGCTCTCTAGAGAAGTTCCCATCCTACCACAGTATGGTTAGCTGACTCCTGCAGTAAAACAGTGTGTGCTTGTCTGTCTTTACTGGCAGAGCGTGTAACCTTCCCACTCAGTCTTTGGTTGTGGGTACTTTTTTTTATTGGCAGTTTGTAAAATGTAATGCTTATATGTTCTCTTTCATGGCTTTTAAAATAGAAGGAAGCTCTTGCTAGAAGAACACGCAGTACCACTGAAACTGAGATAGCATCTGCACCCATAAGAGCATAGAGCAGAGGTATAGACTATATGTCTGCAGTATAACATTGTACATTTTTCCCCATGGCTTTTGCCTTCCCCTCCTTGCCATTGTCAGGATTCCTGGGTACCTTGTGCGTGCATTGATCTCTAAAGCTCTTTGGGAGCAGGAAGCAGCAGTTAATGAGCTGAACTGCTTTGTTCTCACAGCTGAGATCAGTTATAATGCATATACCAACCTGTTTTAAGAAATTCAGCATGGATGAATGCAAACAGATGGATCAGCAGAAAAACATGACCTGGACTTGGCTGGTGGCTCCTGTGTGCATCAGCTGAGGCTGTATATAGCAACAGAAGCCTTTAGAAGGATGATGTGGTGCGGGATGGGTTGGAGAAGCGTGAAGGTGAAGGACTGCATTGTCTACAATCACCTGCTCCTCCTTGTTTACTCCTACTCTTTTAAAACCTAGAGATCTTTCTAGTAAGAGCCATGTTGCACTGCTGACCCTTTTCCTACTGGAACATGAGCTTCTCAGGATTTTTAGAGGCAAGCTGTTAAAACGAATGCAGACTCCTGCAGAGGCTTTGGTCTCTTCCTTCCTGACCTCTTCTTTGGTTTGAGCTGACCACTTCTGCATTCACTGTCGCTCGTCATGATCCTCTGAGGAGTCAGGATGCTGTAACAAGGCTCTCTTTGAAATGTCAAGTTACAAAAGGACATCTCCCACATAATTGTTCCCAAACTTCCTGGGTGAGTTGTGACCCGCTGCAGAGGATTTTGCACAGCAGTCCAACAGCTGACCTCATTGCCGTGAAATGCAGGCCTGGAACAGATTGTCTGTAAGCTGCACGCTGAGATAAATGGGGAAACTCTGGAATTAGTTTGTTGAAGCTGCTGCGTCCCAGCTCAGAGCATTTCTAAACTGGCAAACAGGCTGGATGTAACTAGCTCCTGCCCCCGTCTTGGCATGTGACGTCTTCTGCAGCACTGAAATCCCATGACAAAGCTGTTGCTCTTCTGAGCACCTGGCTTGACAGAAGGAGAGGAGAGAGGCCAATTACACTTGGAAACGCCAGAAGCCCTGGGACTGATGAGCTGCTGAAGCACTGGGTTCCCAGTGGCTTGGCTTGACTGCATAGTGTCAACTGGGCAGTTACTGAAGATGGCAGGAAAGCGTTTCCTTCCCCTGTTTGCGCCACGTGCCAGTTTGATGCCTTGCAACCCCTTCACCGTTTTACCTGTTGCGGGCTTTTGTGCGGAGGAGCATGCCCTGCTCTGGGGAAGCTGCTGTGTAGCACCAAATCTTGGGGGACCAGTATCTTTGTGCATCCTTGTAGAGGCTGCTCCTCACGCCTGTACTTGCTGGCTAAGCTGGGGAACAGGGGAGAACACCTGTAGTGCAGAGGGGGCTTGCATTGGTGGAACCTGAATCCTCAGCCTTTCTTGTCTCGATGCTTTAATTCAGCTTCTCAGGGGAGTTTGCAGGCGGCTGCCAGTGTTTGCATAAAGACATGGCTCCGAGGAGCACGTCCCAGGTTTGGGGCTGTGAGTGACTTCCACTGTGCCTAGAGCACTTTGTGCCAGCACACACCCCAATTTGGAAATGCCACCGAGGGCCTGGAGGTGGTAATAAATGACACTGCGCTAATGCTGTCCCTCGAGTGCTAAGGGAGACAGTTTGTCTGCCTTCAGCAGCTCGACCTTATGCTCTTGGGTGATGAACAGGGAAGTGATGTGCAGCCATTGATGTGCCAGTAACGAGCTGTTGGCACAGCACCTTTCCTCAGGTTACAAAGATGGGTGGAAGTTCATCTTGGTTAAAGTTAAGCAGTACTTCACAGAGGGAAAGGACTGTGGAAGGCTGATTGCCTCTGGCTTATTTAAGCGCTGGGAGCATGTTCCCTCTTGATCTCTGTGACAAGAGAGTGTACTTGATTTTTAGATGATTTTGATAGTGACAAAAGTGGTCGCTTGGGCTCCTTGCTCAAACCAGATGTGATGGACACCACTCTTTGAGCAAGGAGAGACTCGTTCTCCCAGCTATCCTTTGCAATATTTGTTTCTGTTATTTTTTTTGTTTGACTCTAGGGGAGCCCGCTGCTGAGCATAACATGGACGTTTCAACACAGGGAGGGAGGGGAGGTGATCATGAAGCAGCAATGACAGAGCAGCTGACACTCCAACTGTTGTCTTCTTCCCTAGGTTGACCGAGTGAGCTATCTGCTTCAGGAGATCTACGGCATCGAGAACAAAAACAACCAAGAGACCAAGGTAAATGTGTTCAGGAGGCTCCTGCTCCCTGAGCTGCAGGTTTCCAGCCTGCACCTTCTGCTTTTGAGCTTAATGATGGGGCTGGGCAGGGCAATGTGGGGATGCTTCGCAGAATGACTATCAAGTCTGTGTGCAGGCACTGAGGAAGCCTAGGGATGGCAGGTCCTCACTGTTATAAGACCCAAACAATCAGTGGAGTTGTGCTGAGATAATTTTAAATAGCATGAGGCTCTTGAGGATACTCTCTGGGGCTGGAATTGCTGGTAGAGAAGGATATTAGTGCCCCATGGGGCAGAGCATTGATCTTTAGGGCTTGTAGAGACAGTGGACTGGTGTCAGCTGCTGTTCTTGGTATCCTGAGGCTGCTGGCCAGTCTAGGTGCTTCCCAGTTTGCACAGCCAAGAGTATTTTGTTGTTTTTCTCATTGATTGTAAATGAGCATTGCCTCCCAGGCTCCTCTGAAATCTTCCTTCTGGTGCCCATGCCATCTCACTGCCTCTCTGCAGTCAAGGCAGTCCTGCCCGATGTGCCTGTTCTTTGCTTCTGTGGCTCTTTCATCGTCTCCTGTTTGTTGGGGGGGATGTTTGGTTTTTTAATGGGAGGACTGCATGCATTTCCCAAGGCAGTTCCCATAGCATTGTGGGGAACTGAGCTCTCTAGGGCTTGCCAGTGTCCAGAGAGCAGCCTGCATCTCGCAGCAAGAGGGAGCACAGCATCACCAAGGGATGTGTTTGCAAATGCCTTAACCAGAAACATTGCCCATCTCTAGGCAGGAGCTTCTGCTGAATCCCAGCTTGCTGCGCAGCCCCGCGCAGATAACATGATTGCTTTATGCTTGCTTTAGCCTCTTGTAGAGCTGCCCTTTGCTGCCACCTGGGCTGCAGTGTACCAAGTGCTGGCCTCAGGATCGGACCGCTCTGGTGTGTGAAGTGTGTGATTTGCAAACAGAGGAGTAGCCTAAGAGCAAGACAAGCAGGATTTCCTCTCCAAGCAATGCAATGTCTTGCCCAAAGCATCTTGTGATCTGTATCTGCCTGTGCCAACAGGTAGCACCTGAAGAAGCAGGAGGGAGAAGTCTTTTCAAAGATTTTTCTTGCACAAGATCTCTTTAAGAGGATTGAAGGCTTCTTCTCCAGGGTCTTGTGATGATTCTGTTGATCCAGCAATCACACATTTGTGGCCTGGGGCCATTTGTGTTCTTCCCAGTATACTTAGCAACCCATATGAACAGGAAAGCAAAAAGCCTGGCCCCCCTGCCTCCCAGAATAGATGAGGAGTGTGTGTGTGATGGGGCAGACAGGCTTGCAGCCTTGCCCTGGCATAGTCAGCAGGCTGGGTGTGAATGTGGCAGCAGCGGGTGCTGTATATGGCAGTTTACACCAAGATTGTCCATGGTCTGGCATGTGTTAGCCCTGGTAACCAAAGGGGCCTTGTGAAGTGGGAACAGGTGAAGGCAGAGGGTGGCCCATGCTGGGTCATCAGTTTGGTGGGCTCTGGAATAACTTCTGTGGCATTGGTGGGGAGACTGTGGGGTTGTCGGGTGTCAGTGAAGAGAGCTCTTGATGTTGGAGAGTGGGTTTCTCCTCCCAGCAACAGCTGGCTTGGTGGCTCTAATCCAATCTGTGGGGCCCTGAGTGACAGAAGGACTAGTGGGATGCATTTTCATGTTGAATGGGTTCACACTGACTTTTTTACCAGGGTAGCTGTGAGCAGGTGAGCATCCCAGGCTGGTTCTCCTGCAGCTGCATCAGAGCTTGTGCCAGCACAGGAGGCTGGTGAAGATGATGTGACAGGAGAACCATTCACTTCATCACTTGTTCATAGCTGTGGAAACTGGGCTAGACATGGCTGGAGTGCCTCCCTCTGTGCAGCCCAAGGGCAGCCTGACCTGCTGCCTGCCACAGTCAGCAAGCAGCTCCTTTTGGGGCTGCTCTCTCTCTGTGGACATGGGGCAGAAAGGCTGGGCTGCCAAAGAGCCTGCTTCCCTGCTCACCCCGGGAGCCACCAGGCTGGCAGGCAGGAGCTTGTTCTTGGTTCCCTTTAGCCAAGGAGATCCCTGCCCCGAAGGGACTCCCCTCTGCCCACAGCCTCCAGAGTCCTTTGGCAGTTGGACGTGGTCCTTTCCATTCACATGCCAACGTCTTGCCTCTTGTTGCAGCCTTCAGACGACGAGAACAGCGACAACAGCAACGAGTGCGTGGTTTGCCTGTCGGACCTCCGCGACACCCTCATTCTGCCCTGCAGACACCTCTGTCTGTGCAATTCCTGTGCTGACACCCTGCGCTACCAGGCCAACAACTGCCCCATCTGCAGGCTGCGTGAGTGTGTGCCCAGGGAACAAGGGCATCTTTCTCCCTCCTCAGCTCCTGTTCAGTCAGTACAGGCTGTGAGAGGGAGCATATATTTTATATAGCCCACCCCAGGGTTCAGCGTCAAACATGCTGTTGCTCTCACTGGCATCTGAAGATTCCTGGCACCTAAAATAACTGTCTTCGAACACGGAAGGAGGAGGGTACCTGGGCAAATGGCCCTTTATCCAGTGCCTCTCTGGCCACTTACCCTCTCCCTGGGATGGATCCGAAGGTGCAGGTGCTCTGAGCCGTGCCATGTTCTTGTGTTTTGGTGAAGATGATGGGAAAATGCCCCAAAGGAGGGCACGTAGAAGCTTTATCCTGAGAGTAGCTGGCCAAGACAGCAGCCAGCCTCACCAGAGGGTTGTCCAAGTACTTTGCATGATTGGTTTTTTTTTTTTCCCCTCTGACAACCTTACTTTGACTTCACTGGGAAGGCAGAGATAAAAGTCAGTTCAGAGTCCTTTGCTTTGCTAGGAGAGTTAGGAGGATCTGCTTAACCCTTGCATTGCTCAGCTCTCAAAAGATGGAAAAAATGAAATACCCATTCTGACCCTCAGGCAGCGCTTGCTAAATTCCATGTCTTTTGTAAAAAGCACAGAGGCATAGGAGTCTCTTGAGAAAATGCTTGTGTTTTTACTGGAATAGACAGATCGTGCTTTGTCTCTGAGGTATTTGATTGTTTCTAATTGATACTTCTCAGGAAAAGAAAAAAGAGCCTAAGACAGATGTTTGGCCTGAGAAATTAAGTCTCAACAGTTCAAACTTGGCAAAGATGCAGTAACCAAAAGCAAGATCTTATCAGAGGAAGTGCCAGACAGCGTTGGCTATAAGTAGCACAACTTAAAACACAGGAACAGCATTATCTCATCTGCATGCTGCAGCAGAGTAGGTTGTATTTGTTTGGAAAGTATCCCTATGTCAGACTTCCTGAGAATCTGCTTCTGGGGAGCGCAGAGGCAGAGAGGACAGATTTGCACCTCTGACCTCTGGCTCTAGGCATTCTTGCAAGCAGCTGGGCGCAACAAAAAACGCCTGGGCTTTTCCTTATGTACAAGCAAGTTCTTACAGCTGCATCAGAACAGACGTCTGGCTCGTTCATATGCGCCCTTGGCACAGAGGAACTAACAATATTAAAGATCTACAGATAGAAAATGAGACTGTGGGCAGGGAGTGAGGATCAAAGCTGTTGTGGTGGGAGGACCAAGGGATTGCTGTGCTGGAGACAGGAGTTCAGCCACTAACCCTCTGGCTGGGTTTGCAGCTATTGCAGAGCCTCTCACCACCGTCGCGCTGGCCGGTGAGTGAGCAGCCCATGGCTGGCGCGACATTTCCAGTGCCAGCTGGAGCCCAGGGCTGAGACTTGTGGGGTCTGAATGAGCCCAAAGTGGTTTTACATGAGCTCCCCAGCCACTCTGTAGCTTGCAGTGTGCTGCCCGAGGCCAATCTCCTGCTTTTCTTCTTCTGCCATACAGTATCAGGCCTGCAGCACCTCTGTACATCGCTGTACCGGGGCAGGCAGTGCCCGTTCTCTGCAGGGTCTGCATGTACCCAGGCTTTTTCGGCCAGCAGATCTCTTCCCTGTCTGGGTCAATCGACTAGAAGCCAGACCAAAGCCAAGCGAGCCGAGGAGCTCTCATGGTCTGGTCTTGTTTGGCTGCGTGGTCACCTGCCTGCTGTTCTCTCCTAGCCTTCCGCGCCTTGCTGCAGATCCGGGCCGTGAGGAAGAAGCCGGGGGCTCTGTCGCCGGTGTCGTTCAGCCCTGTCTTGGCACAGAGCGTTGACCATGACGAGCACTCTGTAAGTACCTCACAGCGCCGTGTACAAAGCCTGGGCTCTGGTCTCAGCCTGGGCGGGCAGCCTGTGCATGCACAAGTTTCTCAGCCTGATGGCTGGTGTCCCGGGGACCTCAGGAGGTGCACTCAGGCCTTGGAGCGAGGCCTTCCTGAGGAGTGCAGCCTCTCTTCTCAAACCTGCTAGACAGCCAGGATATCTCCTCTCATAGATTAGTAATACGGCTGGTTTTAGCCAGCTGTCCTCCTGTCTTTTGGAGGAAACAAATCCACAGAAACCTCAGTCTGAGAAGGTTTCTCGGGGCCTGTCCCAGCAGAGAAGTGCCAGACTCTGGGCATAACAGGGTGGGAGCTGGGAAAATGGGAGGTGGTTACAGGTTGACTTGCATGTACATCTGTGTGGCAGCACGCACTGATGAAATGCCCTTGGCATCAGGGTTACCAGCGTGGTAGCAGAAAGGCCTCTCTGTGCCAGTCTCCCTGAGTGATCGGGGTCTCGGCAGGCAGCTGAGGGAGTGTGGGATGGAAAGTGGGGTGCTGGTGGCCTCGGGGCTGGGTCGCACGTCCCTGATGCGGTGTGAGCAGCAGCTCATTACCTTGGCAGTGCTGTTGCCCTGCTGGCTCTGGCGAGACACATGAGATCAGAGTGAGGAGAGGGAGAATCTGCATCTGGATCATCTTGCAGGCTTTCACGGGAACAGAAAGAGCTTGTCGCAGAAAAAGCCTGGTTTTATCCATCTGTTGTCTGCAGAACTGTGGCCCTACTGCCTTCAACTGGGGCTAAGAAATAGGACAGGGGAGAAACCTCAAGGGTTGTTGTGAAGCAGAGTGTGGCGTGCAGAGGAAGCAGGTGCTGTCACCTGGAGCGAGCTGAGGAGATGCTGTGTGTCTCTTCGTGTCACCAACCTCAAGAAACAACTTCTTTAAAACGTGGTTTTCTCTTGACAGTGTCCCTTTAAACCCCTTAAAGTGAGCACTGTCTCCCTGCTCAGCAGAAAACCTAGAAGGGAAACAGTAAGTGGACTTGGTTGTATTTGGCTCCTACGGCAGTTCTTCGGCAGCGGTGTCACTAGCACGTGGAAGCGTTGCACGCGCGCGGGCTTGCTCACACGCTGGGTTTGACTTGTGCCCCTGCACGGGCTGCGACACTCCACGTCCTGCCTCCGTGTTAGTGGCGAGATGCTCACACCCTGCACAAACCGTCACTGACCTCCCTGGTTTGCGTGCGGAGGAATAAGCGAAATGGCAGCAGCTTGCCACAAGGATCTGACACTGACCTGGCCGAGGTCTTTTCATAGCTTTGTAGGGCTGTGGGCAAGCTGCTGTCCCCTTGGCTCACCGAAAAGCTTCCTTGCGCTTGTCTCGTCCCCTTGTCAGCTTGGTGTGGGCACATCTTGTTGTGGTTTCCACCCCGATGCTGGGTTGTAGAGGTAGACAAATAGGCACAGTTGGACCAGGTCTTGTGTTCAGGAATACTGGCTGCAATGGGCTGTTTTGCTTTCACAGAAACGGGAAGGATGGAGCTTGTTTTGTTGGGAACTTTCTTGGTGTGAAAGTGTGTGTAACTGGAATGCCATGCTGGGGACAGCGTGAATGGCTATTCTGGGGGACCAGGTGCTGAGAAGGGAAAAGGTAAGGGAGGCCCCAGGCCAGGAAGGCTGTTTGTGCTGCCTTCATGTACTCCCATCAAACGCAGCTACAGCTGTCATCGGTGTCGAGGAACCTGCAGTTTTCCCTTGCTCAGGCCAGCCTGGATGCTCAGAGGAACGTGGCTTGCTGTGCTTGTCAGGTCTGGAGAAAACCTGAGGCTTGGTTCAAGTAACGAGGCTGTCGCAGGCTTGGTATGACCCTGGCTCTCCGCAAGCCGCCTGCAGACACTGGCAGTGCTCCTGCTGGAGCAGTGGGCTCTAGGGGTGGTGTAGTGGTCAGCGTCGTAGGAGACAGCGTTGTCTCTTTGGGGTGTTTGAAAGCTCAGTAACTTGCAGCAAGGGTGTTGTAGCTGAGAAATCCTCCTCCAGCCTCTGACCTGTGCCACAGAACCTGAGCTTTCACCACAGCGAGCAGCCTTTGAACCCTCAGGCCTTGGTCTTCAGAGCCAGAAGAAAATGTCCGGAGCGCGAACCAGGGGGCTTTGTCTCCCTGACTTTTCTGTCCACGAAATAGCACCTCCCAGCTGCTGTCTGGAAATGAAATGTTTTTGTGGAGGTGGCTTTTGGCCCCACTGCCTGCAGGTGGCAGCAACTGTGAACAGATTCCTTGTTCAGCTGACACGGTTATCTTGCAGTCACCAGCTGTGGTCTTCAGTGGAAGCTCCTAACCATCACAAGACCGGTGCTTGGGGGATGGGGGTTGATGCTTGACCGCAGCTGCCCCTCCTTCTTTCCTCCCCATCAGATCTAGCTCCTGTGACTACAAGTGAGTCAATCCAAGTTGATGAACTCACCCCAAGTTAATGGCTGGGTTGGAACAGGTTGCTGGGCAGGCTCATCTGCAGCTGTGCGGCTGGAGATCAGGCACAGAGAAGTTCCTGGCCAGGCTCAGAAGCAGTACACCATTTTAGGTACAACGTAGAACCACCTCCCTGAGGGTGCAGGGCTGAAACAGCTTCATTTAGCGTAAGCCTGGACTGCTGCAGTCTTGTGTCTTGGTTTGCAGTTTGAGCTGCCTGTGACCTCCTGGGTTGCAGCATAAACCCTGTTTATCTCCAAGTCCACAGGACCTTGATGACCAGGAGGAATTTGGGAGTTAAACTTGTGTTGGTTTAAAGGTTTTGCAAGAGTCCCTTTGACTGGCAGCTTAGTGAGTTATGGAGAGAATGGGAATTGGTGCAGTTTTGCTCCCCTCTCGGCGGGGTCAGTGGTTCTGTGATCCCTTTCCTACCTTTTAGCAGAGGCCACTGTGCGGAGAGCAAGCGTCAGCAGCTGAGGGGGCTGAGTCCGTGGGAGAAGTGGAAGTACTGTAGGCTCTGAGGACCAGCTCTCAGCTGGTGCACGCAAACTCCCCTCCTTCAGCTCTCTCCTGGTGACTGTGGTAGTACTGTGAAACAGCTGTATGTACCAGGGCTGGAAGCAGAAGAGGGATGCTTATTGAGCTGGAAAGGTCTCTGAACCATAGGTGGAATTTTAGGAGAGAAAACACAAACGTGTTTTAGAGCAGCTTTCTCACCCTCCTTGTCTGGCTCTTGAAAGTACGGCGAGGGGTGCCCAGCCATGTTCTGGCTTGCTGAGATGCCCAGTCTCTCAAGCATTGCTCTGGAAACTTGCCTGGAGCATCGTTAGCATTACAGCCCAAAGGGGAATGTGTGGCTGTTGCAGGAGAAGGACACTGAGGCTCTCTGGAGACATGGTCGTGGGGATGGGCTGCCGGGGAGCACAGTGTGGGAGGTGCAGGGCTGGGTTGCAGCCGGATCTGACCTTTCTAGGGGGGCTTAATGTGTCCCTCTTCTTGCCCACAGAGCTCCGACAACATCCCTCCAGGCTATGAGCCCATTTCCTTGCTGGAAGCGCTGAATGGCCTTCGCTCAGTTTCCCCCTCCATCCCGTCAGCTCCTCTGTATGACGAAATCAACTACTCCGGCGTGGTGGATGGGATGCCACCTGCGAGCCGACCACTTGTTGGGATGGACAGAGCTGTGGAGAGCGGCCACCAAAAGGGCAAGCGGAGCAAGTCTCCGGATAGGTCAGCATGGGAATGGATGGGTCTGCTCCTCCTGCAAGCCCTGAGGGCTTGTGGCTATGTGCACTAGGAGCCAGGAGGGGGTTCTGGCTCTGGCTGGTCCCATCACTGGTGGCACTGCTAACTCAGAATTTTAGGAGGCCAGTAGGTACTCATGCCAGTGAGAGAATTGGGACGCAACCACTGTGTTCAGCCTCAGGTGACCTGCTTATGTCTCGTAAGAGCTGGCTTTGTCACCAAAAGAAAGAGGATTTTTAACAAGGAGATTTCATCTAGTCTTTGGATGGAAATATCTCCTCTCCGATGCAGTTAGTCCCTCCATTTACATTTGACATCCAAACCCTGTTGGATTTCAGCTTCTACGGAGTTCCCCAGGAACAAAAGAATGAGGAGGGAAGTGACCTAAATTTCAGAGCACAAAATGCCGAGTGAGATCCTTTAGTTGTTGTCTGAAGCCTCCTCTGTTGGCCTTGTGGTGGCGGATGTAGGTGTGGATGTCATGGAGCGGGCAGCCCACGGCAGGTGCCCTTCATGTGTCCCTTGCGGGGCCGTACAGATGGGATCGGACTGGGTTTGATCCTGGTGCTCCTCACTGCGCTTCGTTCCAAATTTCCCCCTGGGAAGGGAGCCCCTGAAGGTGTGAGGAGCAGCACGGGACCTGGGCCTCTTGCATTCCATCCGGAGGCAGGATTTGTCCGGGTTGTGTGGCTGTGCCGGAGCTCTGCACCACTCGGCTCTGCCCCAGAAACGCTGCTGCTGTTCTCCGTATCGCTGATACAGGAGGGCCCCGTTTGAGCTCCTGCTCGTGCGTGTTGTCGCCTGCTGCTGATGGAGGGACAGGGCCAGGGTGGTGACAGCTTGAGCTGCTGCCACCAAATCTGCCAGGGCCTGCAGTGCTGGCAGCACTGTGGCTCCTTGCAAGTGGAGTTTCTCTTGCTGCAGCACACTACGGTCTCCCTCGTCCCCGATCCATGAGGAGGATGAAGAGAAGCTCTCCGAGGACTCCGACTCGCAGCCAGTGCTGAGCGGGGGTGAGCTGGTCCTGGGAGAGACCAGCTCTCCAGAAGTAAGTGTGCTGGGGAGCTGCTCTGAGTCACAGCTCCTCAGGGGGAGCTTCTTCTGGGACATGGGAGGTGCCTCTTCCTTAGTGACAGGGTAAAGAGGAGCTCGTTAGCCCGAGTAGCCCAGAGCCAACAGTCTTGGCTGCCTCCGTTTGCCCACAGGGCTCCACAGGGAAGGATGTCCTTGCTCCCTGTGCCCCTAAAATGTCTTTCGGAGCTGGAGGGTGAGCCACTGTGTGGCTCTGTGAGCCGCAGAGCCACTTGGCTGCAGCCATGCCAGAGCTGACCTTCCCCCAGTTTCCTGGAGGAGCCCAGCAGAGTTTGGGCCAGGGGTGGAAGCTGGGCCTTGCTGGGCTTCCAGCGCCCGCTGCCGTTGCCTGTAAAACCCCACCATCCCGCCCATGGTGCCACAGCGCTGGTGGGTGGCCCCTTGCTCTCCCTCCCTGAAACAAGTCCTGGCCCCGAATGCAGATCTCTGGAGAAAGCCAGAGCAGGAGACAAGCGCAGCAGAGGCCTCCATCCCGCAGAAGTAACCTGTACTGTTCCTCCTTACAGAGCGTGGCAGAGGAGGAGATCGAGGAGGCGCCATCCCTGCAGCAGGGTAGGTGTGCCCTCAGCCTGGGGGGTGGCCAGGCCTTGTCTTGGTGTCCAGCTCCACTGTGGTGGGAAGGGGGCAGCTGGGGAATGGACATAGGAGTTGAGAAACATCCAGCCCCCGAAATCCATCTCTGAGCTGCTGTGCTTCACCAGAGGCAGGTGCCAGGGTCTCTCCTGGGAAGTGGGGGACCAAAATGGACAAATCTGTCTGGTTTATATGCCAAGCATCTCTCCTTGCTGTAAGCTCTACACAAGTAGAGCTGTCCACGCCATGGGCTGTCCCCTCGTGTGGCTGAGGGGCAGACAGCTGCATGCACCAGCGTGGTGCTGGGAGACCATGGCTGTGGTACTGGGCATGCAGGATGTGCCTCATCTCTTTGGGATGGGTGTCTGGTGCTCAGTGAGCACCCGGAGGGCATAAGGATGGGGTGGGAGGGGTTTTTTTTTGGGAGCCTGTATGCGAACAGAGGTGGCCCTTCGGCACTGTGACCTGGGCCGGTCCGACTGGATCTTCCGAGACCTCTGCGGGGCTGGGGGTCCCAGGGGACTTCTTCACGTGGAAGATCTCAGCCCGTCCCCAGGCCACGTGCCCCTGCAGAACTGGTCTGGGGCCTGAGGGGCTGCGCTCTCTGACGGTTCTAGGCAGCCGCCCGCCCTCCGTCGAAGACGTCCT